CAGACTACTTTAGACCCGGAAGTAGGATTCGTCGTGTCATCACTGAACAACCGGATAAAAACAGCATAAGAGGAAATTAATCAAATGCTTTTCTAAATAAAAAGGTCTTCAGCTGTTTTTTAAAAGAATCAATGGAGTCCGTGCAGCGAAGAGACAGTGGAAGAGAATTCCACAACCGCGGTGCCACAGTCTGAAAGGCCCGATCACCACGAGTTTTAAAACGAGTGGGCAGTACCACCAGCAGTCTCTGATCTAATGACCTTAAAGCCCGAGAAGATGAATGTGGTTTCAGCAGGTCAGATAAATATTGAGGAGCTTGACCATGTAGGGCCCTAAAGGTTAGAACTAAAATTTAACAGTGAAGGGAGGCCAAAACTTGAGTGATATGAGATCTTCTCTTTGGTCGTAAGCACCGGGAATCTTCCCACATCCAAGAAGCTAATCTTCGGTACCTTCTCAGTTGCACCTGGACACCGGCCCTGGTTCCCCTACTTCTTCTTTTCTTCGTGTTAAATCCCACCGATATGTACGGTAACATGCACTCAGGTGAGGAACACACAAAGGTTGGAGGGAAAAATTTTCTGTAACTGTCCCAGCTGTCAAAGTAGCTCTCCATTGAATCTTTGATATACAACAGTGTGCCCCGATCATAAGTATTGGTGGCAGAGACAAAATGAAAACACAGGACGTTAAAAGTAATAGCGCAAGTGACAATAGCGGCCAGTATAAAACTATACCAGCGAGCTGTACTAGCGGCACAAGCGGCAAAGCCACCCCGAGACAGGGCCCGGGTTCAAACAGGTTCAAACACTCCCCGAGGTGCGAGTGAAGCTGAATCAGCTTCAGTCCACACCAGGTGCCACTCCCGTCAGCTAAGAACAGGATAGTGAGGTGAAAATTCACACAGGCTCACCAAAGTGGCACAGTTTGGTACCAAGTGAAATACTACCTGATCATTGTTGCTGATCATGTCCATCCCTTTATGACCACAGTGCATCCATTCTGCTGATGGCTGCTTCCAACATTGTAACACAACATGTCGCAAAACTCAAATCATCTCGAACTGGTTTCTTGAACATGACCATGAGTTTACTGAACTCAAATCACCAGATGTCAGTCTGCTGGAGCACATTTGGGATATGAAACTACTGCTACTACTAGCAAAGTGTACCTAATAAAGTAGCCAGTGTGCATATCTTAATATACTTATAATTTTCAGACTCTTGGCCAGACAAAATAGGCCACTGACCTCTCACCCAACCAACCTTTTTTCTTTTAAAAGTGTCATTCGTGACCGTCACATCCACTCAAGGCATTCCCACATTTTTAAGCAGCGTCTGCATGCAATCACAGTTTAACACAATTCAGCTCTTTATGGGATTTGGGGACCTTTACTCTTCTCTGCAGAAGCTCCAGACAGAACGTGTTGGTACTTGTCTTTTAAGAACAAGACCCTTAATTGATGATCAGTCAGCTCTAAATTCAGAACAAGACAAGCTTTCCAAACAGAGACATGGAGCTAAGCTAATTTGCAACAGACAGTTGTTTCACGTGGCAAAAATCTGTGGTTGCAATTAGAAATAATAGCCTGACTTTGCCTGAAATGAAAAGCCCATTGTTTCAAAAAATCCAAAAGGTTCAGGGAGAAAAATCTGCTACTGTTATTGTGAAGTATATCGAAAGTTTGGGACATGTCACAACATTGCACGGGTGGGTGTTTAGTGAGCAGCGTCGCTATCTGATTACATTATATTGCGTTCTGGGAAGCTGTTAGGAACATTTTTCATGATTTTTTTACAGACTAAACAGTGTTTCAAGCAATAATCAAAAACATTTCACAGATTAAGGGAGGATTAGATACAGTGCCAGTGCTAAAGCCTGACTAATGTCTATTTGTGCTAAAAATCAAAGTTTGCATGCTGAAAACTGTTTTGAGAGCTACAGCAAGCACATTATTTGCCACAACTTGAACCCGATGACCGTCTGCACCATTTCCAAGCTGCGTGTTTGGCAGCCAAGTGGATCGGGATCCTGCAAGCCTCTATTGGCCTTTTAGCATCACTCATCAGTAACAAAACAGGCGCTTCCTGGTGCTGCAGGAAGAGCTGAAGTATAGCAGAGAGAGTTCCTGAGTGACTCATCATCATGTGAGATTCAAAGGTTCAGTCGGCAGTACGACGCGGCATGCACATGCATGCATGTGTGCTCATAGATGCACGAAGAGCTGGCAGAAGATTTGAGTCTGGCAGAAGGCTCAAATAGATGCCCAAGATTCTGCAGTGCCGATAACGCTAATGGAAAACAATGAGGTCATAATGAGATCATGATGAGATACTAGGAGGAGGAGCCCATGGACAACAGAAACAGGTGATATGGAAAATGATAAAGCTTGTGGCGCAAAAACAAAACCAAAAAAAAGATGAAGGGCGTGTCTATGTGCAAAGTGTTGTTCACAGAGGTGGTGTTCGAATCTAATCATTTTCAAAAATTAACCCGTTTGTCCCAGACGTAACTCACCAACAGATCAATGCTTTCGCGGCGTCCGAGAGATCCATGCTCCACCTTCTCACTGCCTGGCGCGAGGATGTAGGGGCTCTGGACTCCAGGCGGCTTCATGTTGGGCAGGCTGAGAGACCGCAAGTCCTTCACGCCCTGCTCCACCTTCAGCTCATCGCCTGGCCGAGCTACACACACACACACAAAAAAAAAAAAAGTCAAGCTGTGTGGAAGAAATACTGGAAAAGTCTTAAGTCATTATTTATCTTTTATAGCAGAAAAAATGCCAAAGAGTTTTCTCTTCAAACTGACTTTTGTTCTGAGTTTGGACTTTTTTTGAACTCCGACCAGCACCCAACAGAATGGGGTGTGATGGTTTTTCTTACATTTTTACAGCCTCTTAAAAACACAGTAGACGGGTTAATACAAATCAAATGTTGGGCTTAGATTAAACCTGCAGTGGTGTGTTTTTGGGTCACTTTGGGGCAGTGGAAACTTCTCACCTTTCAGGTAAATATCTTAGAAACCATGCAACAAAAACAAATATCCCTGGTGAAAGTGCTCACTTAAAGAGAAAACCTAAAACTAGTTCTAACTAAATTCATGTTAAAGCTCAGGAGAGACCGTGATTCAACTTCAAGTGTTTACAGGACCAGAACAGACTAGAGCAGAACAACATAGATTCTCAGACTTCATGCGACCGAACAGCTGTGAACTGTTTACCCTTGACCTCTGTATATTTTTGAGACTGTATGTAACTCCAGTCTGTGGTCAAGAGGTGAGAGAGTGGGAGGGGACAATTTCAAAGAAGAGCAATACTCGTGGTACTGGATCTCATTATGAGCGGCTCTAATGGGCCTTTCATCTAAAAGCTAAACAGCGGAGAAGGAGCCATTTCACCCAGTTTCCACCCTGGAAAAAATTAGGGAAAGTCTAAAGACTCATATCGCTGTTTAGTCAGTGAAATTAGTGAGAATTTTCATGAGACTTTTGGAACAAGATTGAACAGATTAGTGACACATTTTCCACGTGTAGTTTTAATCACTAGTATATTACAAAAGACGCAGTCCACTCCTTTTTCCTGCTTGTCAGAAACACGGGTGTGAGAGGAAACTGGCCAGCCTCATTCGTCTCGATTAACCATTGTTAAAAAGGCACAGAGGTAAGAACAGTGCAACGTCTAAAATGCTGCTGCTGAGGACGAGACTGCTTGGTTTCTAGGAAAAACAACAAAAGCTCCACTTTTCCTGTGGGCCATTTCATTGTGCTATTGAAATTGATTTAAAGAGGGTTCTTACAGTCTTTTTTTTGTCCAGCAACTGAATAACTGACCAAAAAAATATCCTAAACAAGCTGCAGACCTGCAGTTATGTCAGCTATTTTAAAGAAAAGGAGAAATAATTTGATTTGTTGATGAGATTTGCATGATCTTTATTTGTTTTACCGAATCTCATGCGATCAGCTCATGAATTTGAGACAAAATTCAATAGTCATTTACAGGTGAAGGGCTGCAAAATGCATCAAAAGAATGCATTTTCTGCAATTAAAGGGGAGACATTTGGCAACATTTGACTTTGTTCTGCTTATTATTGTGTTATTACAAAAAATAAATCAACCTGGGACAAAATTTTTACTGATTAGGATTTTAAAAGTATTGTACATGATGGATTTTGGTTGCTTCAGTCATATCACAGTGAAATAAAGCTCCTGCGTCTTTATGGGAAACGTATACTCAGGATTTGTGTGAGGGGTCACAGGAAATATGATGTGGAAAAATTACAGTATTGCTCTTTTGGCCTCTGTCGTGCTGATGATTAGTGGGTTTTTGTAGAGGATCTTCAAAATGAATCTGATAATTGAATACCATATTCTTCACTGCTCTTCCTGAACCTTTATCTGCCCTTAAACTCGCTCTGTGTTCAGGCCAGTTTCTCTTTGTAATAAAACACAGCCATAAATTTTAGTCTTGCATATCTAAAAAGATTTCATTGCTGAGAAGTTGTTTCATCTTCTGCAACAGTCGACAGCGATAAATCAGCCACAAGCGCTATTTGTACGAATCGTGACTCATAATTTGACATCACTAAAGTACTTGTTTGGTTTTACCTTTCACTTTGAGGTAGTGTCCTCCAAAACGGTAGGCCTCGAAGTTGAGGGACAGTGGCGTGTTAGACTGATCGAGGAACAAGTCCACCCGGGACAACTCAATGCCATTCCTTTCAAACACAGGACCTAGAACCTCTCTGGTAAGACGTGACGAAGAGAAATAAAATGTAACTATTATATAAACTGTTTTTAAAAACTTTTTAATTCAGTTTTTAACACAATGCTCACCGCAGTGTCTTCTTTTTCATAGCAGGTACAATTTCTGTTTTTATGTCCACATTGAGGTCAAACTTGAGGCTGAAGCACTCCTTACTGGGGTCCTGCAGGAAGAACAGAGGGACTGTGAGTTTACACAGGTGGGACGGGCTGTCCGGCTGTATGCAGGCTCTCAGCAGAGCCACAGGGGGGCTCCTTCATACTACACTGCCTGGCTCAGACAAAGAACAGCCTAGAAGGTGCTATCACGCCATATCTTGGTACAGAGAAAAATGGCAGCTGCTGTATTTAACAACTCTTTGTCTATATCATATAATCTTCCTGGATTCCATCCAAGAACACAGCATGGGTTAAAGTGTTTGCATGACATCTTACATCAGTGTGTCGTCTCCGTGGTTTCTTTTTCACCAGCTTCATCCCCACTGTTTTACGCTCCCTGCAAAACAGTCAAACACATCATCACCCCTAACATGAAGCAGCACTTCAAAAAAGCCCAACATATGAGAAAGTGCCGTCTTCATCTGTCTGCATCACAAATTTTAATGAGATCTGACAGGCGACATGCTTCATGGCTCCAATTTATCCTATAGCATGCAGGGAATAAGAGAGGAAAAGAGGCAAGCAGGAGGAAAACTGGAACACTGGTATGACATAACAGAGGGTTACTGACCCACGGTCACTGCTCCCTTCATCCTCTTCCTCCAGGTCCGAGGGGGGGCTGGTCCGTGGGGGACAGGAGCGTGTGGATACGTTCCGAGCCAGGATGGAGGCTAAAGGTTAACAAATCACAGCAGTCATTCTCTGTGTTGTTTCACAACTAAGTTAACCTTTATTGTAACAAATTTTAATTTGCATTGTTAATAAACGGATAAGTGGTAGTTAATTCAACTTTTCTTAAAAGTTATTTACTGCAAAAGAATGAAAAGATCATTTTTCTGGTTTGCACAGGACTGTCTGGATGATTATTGTAAAATTCTGCTCTCAGTCTATGTAAATGGTAACAGTTTTTACTTCAGATATAGAACAAAAACATAGCATCCTTCGACAAACAAGGAAGTTCAGTGACAGTTACCTGCAGTTCCTGCATTTCCACTACATCGTGGTTTCTTTTTGCAAAGACATATAAAACCAAACGAAACAAATCCCTACACTATAGATCACATAAATCACTGTTGTAACTTATTCATTCTTCCATTCACAGCATGTGTTAAAAACAATACAGATTCTCTTTTATATTGGCACGTTGCTCGGCCGTACATTTAAGGATGCATCCCTACAAATGTCCATTCAGTTCAATTTTATTTATATAGTGCCAAATCAGAACAACAGCTGCCTCAAGGTGCTTTGTACTGGGGTTGCACAGTTTCTACAAAATAACTAACTGGAACTTTGCTGGCACGATTGAAGCCAAAACTGTCTGCATAGAGTGGAAGACAAATTTTTACTTCAATAAAAGTAACAACGCTCACTCAAATTACAAAATGTGCAAATGTGGAATTTCGCGACAAACGCACGTTGAGCTGTGCAAGAGGAAAATGATTTACACGATCTGCCTTATTTAGACAATAACAACAACTCTGAGTCCTTGACATTTACGCAGCGATGGCCTGCAGCGTCATCCTGCAGCGTCATCCTGCTCAGGGAGGGATACCAAATAAAGAAATCATGCAAGTCTACCTTGAGGTTGCAAGTCAAATCGGGGGTGCCGGTCAAAGTGCATGTTGTCTGAATTCTCTGAATGGCAGCGTGAGTCACATGACTCACACAGGTGGAGGGGGCTTTTGCTATTCAGGTCTTGACAGTCTGGGTGGTGACAAACCTAAACACAGAAAGCAAAAGAGGGGGAAAAGAGAAAGTCAGAACAAAATAACTGCCAAGGACATAAAGTGTCTGCATTAAAATACAAAAACAATTTAAATGACTCAGTCAAAGTAAAAAGGGCAAAACAGTCACACACACTTGGAATAAACAGCTCCCTGCCTGACTATTGTTTCAGTTACAATTAAAATGACCACAGAAGCTGTTGTGGGCATTCCTGCGGTTTGGTGACTCCCACCTTCCCACCATCTGTCCCTCAGCGGCATGACAACTAATTGAGTTAAAGTCAGTTTTACAGCACCTGTGCTGACATAGGACCAGCTTGCCCTGACCTAATCCTTACTGGTATCCCCAGAGGTGAAGCAACAAAACTGACCGCAGGTCAGCAACCGCAACACTTCCAGGCCAGAGAGCTCAAGAAGCTCCATAGCTGATGCAACATGCAGCAGAAGGCTGCAGGATTAAAGGATCTCATGGCCCAGACATATACACCCACCCCATGTCAACAATGGGCGGCGAAGCACTGGGGGAGCTCTCCGTGTACACCTCCTCACTCCACCCTGTGTCCCTCTCACCATCACCCACACCCGGCTCAGGAAGCGTGAATGTATGGGGAGATACAATGGAAGTCCCGCTAATGTACTTCCTGTCATTGTTTCCATGTACTCATGAGGAGCAGTGTGTCTGTGCAAGTGTGTGTAAATATGTGTGTATGTGCACAGCAGTGATTTGAGCACAAGCTAGACAGACTAGCTGATATGTAAACAACTATAGAAGGCAAGCGGTAGATGCCATACCCATTACATGAGCCTATTTTAGGCAATAATATGCACAAAAACAATACATCAATAAAGAAAGGAGTTTAAGAGGACAAAATAGACTCAGATTTAAGTACAATGTTCCCAGGCTTGGCGCTGTAGCCTTACATTGTGCAGATGGGACCTGAACTCTTTGAAAGTTGGCTCCATATCCAGATCAGCGGACACTGAAGACCCCAGTAAACATTCAACGTGCCCCCTCTTTGGTCTGCTAATTCACAGTGCAGCCCTGTCAACCCACACTGACAAGCTGCCTTATTAATCCCCTCCTCTCAATGTCTAGCCAGATATAATCGCAGATTTTAAGGAGCAGATCGCAGAGCTGCAGGAGGACAGAAAGGGGGGAGGAAGGGAGTGAGCGGTAGGGTTAAGGAAGGGTGAGGAGTCCCGGTGAAGATATAAAGGCGAGGCAGGAAGGAAAAATAAAAAAGGTCCATCCAGAAGCTTTTCAGAAGTACAAAGCCCCCTAATCTTGCAGCCTAATTGGTGCCTGTGCTCTGTCAAAGCCATCTGACGGTCCTGAAGAGATTAAACAGCCCCATAAGCCAGGGTCTTCTTCTCATTTTCCTCTCCCCAGCTCTGTCGTTTCTGTCCTCTGCCACCACCAGCATAGACTCCTCCCTTCCTCCGATGCACTCATGGTCACTGTACCCAGACACAGCTTCAACCAGAGAAGATTTAAATAGAGACTACAGCGAGAAAAAGAGCAGTGAAGTTAATGAGAGAATGGCCTTTTGTACTGTAGTGAACAGACATGAGATTAAACAGCAATTCCAGTTAATTACAACTTGATTTTTATAGTTTGGGTTGTCATATTGCAGATAGTCAAGCAGGTGTGTTGCTAAAGTTACAGACAGAAATGATGGTCATACCCATGAATAAAAGATTTCAGATCTAAAAACGCAGACATGGGTGCTGATATTCATATTAAAAGTCATCACATGAGCACTATTCAGTGATAAACATCGTGTAAATGGACCGACCTAGTTAGCAAATAGCCGTATCTGCAAGCATTGCTCACTTTGTGGTGACTGTGGTAAAGGAGGACTAAAAGAACAGCCAGAATCTGGGTTAGAACATTTCTCAATAACCACAGTCGATGACGTTCTGTAACTTGCAGGTACAGATAACTGCTGTGTCTCACATCTGACTCACTGACCTCACCTCACCACTCAACAGCTAGAAATAAGTGATAGAAAGTTGTTAAAACATCACATGCTTATGCTTCTCTGAAGTGAATGTCAGTGCACATACACGTGCGCATTTTTGAACAGCAGCGTCAAATATCTCATCACACAGAGATGCTAAGTTCTCCATGAAGTGTGGAGACGCAAAGAGAACCACACCAGAGAAATACAAGCAAATCAGAAGCCATATTTAGACAATAAGATAGGTAGGCCCTCCACGCTATCAAGTCAGGGCGTTCACATTCCTGCAGGAACTAAAGCAGCTGGAAAAAAAAAAAAGAAAATCAGATGCTTTAGCCAAGATAAATGGTCCATCATAGGATGAACTAATGCCTCTCCTGGTGAACCAAAAAGAACCAACTGTTTAAAAAGTCAAATAAACCTAGAAAAGCCTGTAATCTCACAGTCATCACAAGATAGATTTAGCTATCAGAGCTATGTAGCCGTTCAGGATATGTGCAGCTGAGATTTTTGCAATACTGAACATTCCTATCGGACAGTTATTCAGGTACAGCCTGACTTTTACGAAGCATTTCTGGATACGGATCAAAATGGAAAAAGGTGGAGGAGGGTACAAATGAAGTTGGAGGTGGCGGTGTGAGACAGCTGACAGGAAGCCGCGCATGCCTCAGACGGTGAACGTATGAGTGAGTGCGTGCGAGACAACATGTGTCATATGAGTGCGTCGCGTGAGTCCCCTGCGTGCCTGCTCTCAGATCTGCCCGGATTAGTGGGGTAGTTTGGGGCGGCATGACTGCAGATGAAAACGCTGAAAACACAAACACACACAGCCCCAGCTTCGCCCCTTACCCAACAGCTGAGAATACACACACAGGCCCCAGCAGCGGCCCCTTGACTTGGCTTACCAGATCCGATGCCACGTGGCACGCGCTTATGCATCCTTGCTTTCACACATCCTGCAGCTTGCCAATTCTCCCCACATGCATAATTGAACGCACAAATACAGGCATGCCTGCTCAAAAATTGTGTCATCGATGAGCCGCACAGCAGTTGTTCAGCTGTAATAAAGCTGTTTTTGTTTGAAAGAAGATGACTCGAGTCTCCTGAGGTGAATCAGGATTACCTCAACACAGTCGTCCATGCAGGGACACACAGTGAGGCTATATCCACACACATACATGACAGCTGAGGATTATTTTATTAAAGAAAAATTGCTTTACAGAACATTAGGCTACTTCACACAGTGACCTTAATGACATTACAGTGGGGAATGGTTATCTTAAGTTTAAATTCAAATTTCTTAAACATGATTTATAATTAAAAGATGAAACTTGTGGGTTTGGAGCCACATCAGCCAGGCAGTTTAATTTGGCTGCGAGCTCCTCACCACCACCACCACCAATAATTTTGGTATCCTGAGGACAATTTTATATAAGTGCGGACAGCTTGCCACATCCTCACAAGCTGGTAATAACGCTTAGTGCATCATATAATTCCGCACACAGAGAGAAAGGCAGCAGACCCAGATTACAGATCTGAGTGAGTGTGATACGAGGCCCATCCATCACAGGGCTGCTTTAAAGACAATCTGCTCAGTAATGCAAAAAGCCAAAGCTACACTCCTGCCTGTCTGCAACCTGACTTCAGTTCCCCCTCAAACCTTACTCAGCCTTCCTCCGGAACAGCTTGTCCTGCCAGAGAACACCTAGCGCTTATGTAATAGCACGCATCACTGTGTGCGTTTGCATCACGTTAAAGTTGAAGAAGAGCAACGAGATATGGTTCCTCTCTGTGTGGTCTGAAAGAAGAGGGGGAAAAAGACTAATCCTAGTTTTGTTCTGTAAGTGTCATTAGGAGGTAGAGTTTGATGGGAATTTATCAGCTATTCAGAAAAGCTGAAAACTAAACCAATCTTACATTATAAATACAAAAAAAAAAGAGTTACTTATTAGGTTGATAAGCTTAAAACTTGATAGAAGACTACACCAGTCTATCCGATTCATCTACAAAAACACACAAATCAGTGATTATCAGTGGTGCTAGAGTGATTTTTGTTTTTAATCACAGACCCTGGCCCAGTGTAACCCTGTTCAGGAATGTTTCATCCACTGCACAGCAGACAGCCCCGGATGGTTTGAATCGAAAGAGCTCAGAGAGGACACGTGCGCTGCTATAACCAAATGTCCTGTACGTTTGCCAAATTAGTCAGTTCTTCTTCATGTGCGGTGGCCCAGCGCTTGTAAAATCACAAGTACTGATTTAAGTCGCTGAAAGTACAGATTTAATCCCACCCTTATTGTCGCCTGTCAGAGTTGACACCACACTTCAAAAGCGTTGAGCCAGCAAGTTGGGCTTTGTGCTTTGTCAGAATTGTTCTCACAAAATGTGTTTTATTCTTACAAGGGAATCCTGTTTAAAATGTCTCATCGGCTGGTTTTCGGACGCATACGTCTTGGTAACTTAAAGAGCAGCGCACAGGCGAGCTTTACCAGGGGAACCATGCATGACTGTCTTCAAGCATTCCTTGAGGCAGCCTCAAACAGGCTAGACCCAGTACAGACACAAGTTCAGAAGGAGTGCATTAACCCCGAGGCAAAAGGGAAACATTTTTGTAACATAATAGGAATTTGTTACAAATAATAGGAAGTTGTGTTTTCTGATATTTTTCAATTGAAAGCAGGAGCACCGGTAACAGCTTCAAGAAGACATTTGGTAGACACCCAGAAGAAGAAATAAAAAGGAGACCCGTTATGCTTTTATTTTTTGCAGAAGTGAATGGATGGATGGATATGCTTTTACAGTGGCGGATGCTCATATTAAAAATGGCCACAAACATTTGTTTTCAGGCAGTTTTTTCCCCACTCTTGGCTCTGTCAAAGAGAAGGGATATTTCTAACATGCTTATCTCACACACACACAGCTCCGGCTATGGGCAGAAATCCTCGTCCCACCTGCTATTCAAACCATCTGTTGACGAGGCGCAGCCAATCAAAATAAAGCTGACTGAAAGCAGCAGTTTTTCTGGCATGCCACAC